TATTTATTTTTTGTGTGTGGAACCGGGGATTGAACTCAGACCCCTGCGCTTGCCAGGCAAGCACTTATTCTACTGAGCTATCTCCCCGGCCCCTAAAAATATTTTTTGAAGGCACTGTAGAATAACAAACATAAGCAGAACTTATGGAGAATAACAAACATAAGCAGAAGAGGTTATAAACCTTGGCTCTTTTACATTATTAGGTATTTATTTGGTTTTTTGTTTGTTTGTTTTGAAGGAAGGAAAGGTTTATGTAGCTCACAGTTACTGGAGGTTTCAGTCCACACTCAGGTGGCTCCAAGGCAGAGCCGTACATGGCAGAGGACAACCTTTTATGGCAGTGGCAAAGAGCAAGAGCACAAGGGAGGTAGCAGCAGCTCAAGCAGCTAGCTTCTCTTCCCTCCTTACACTGTAATGGAAATTGCCTGCCCCAGGGCAGGTGCTGCATCCACACCCACAGTAATCAATCACAAACTCCAGAAGCCACCCCAAGACTGCATGAGGCTTTTTTTTTTTTTAACATTTATTGTGTGTGTGTGTGTGTGTGTGTGTGTGTGTGTGTGTGTGTGTCCGTCCAGCTCAGCCCACCAGGGGGCGCAGCTGGCTGGCATGTGGTGCTGGAGGATCGAACCGCGGTCCCTGTGCTTTGCCAAGCTTGTTCCAAGTAGGTGCTTTAGACCACTGAGCCATCTCTCCAGCCCCTGCATGAGGCTTTGGGGGAACACCTAGACATAAACCATAACATTCTGCCCCTGGACCTCCAAAGACTCATGCACATCCCTTTATGCAAAAGACATTCTAGTCTATCTGTAAGAGTTGCCAAAGTCCCAACAGTTTCAGCATTGCTGAAGAGTCCAAGTCCCAAGTCTCCTCCATGATCCAAGGCAAACTCTCAACTGTAAGCCCCTGTGCAAATGAAAACTTAAACACTTGCAACACTAAAAGGCACAAGATAAACACTCCCATTCCAAAAGGCACACACAGCAGGATACAAACCATTGGGACCAACACAAGTCCAAAATCCAGCAGGGCAAACATTAAGTCCTGCAGTTCCATGTGGAACATCCGAAGCAATCTGTGGCAAATTGTGAGCTCCATGAGGCTCCGTCCCTATGGCACTCTTGGGGGTAGCTCCCACGGCTTCTCTCTTAGGCCGGCTTTGCTCCCTCCTTGCAGTTTCCCTCAGATGATCCACATTCCTGGCTTTTCCAAACTTCTAGGGTTTCCACAGAATGGCCTTCTCTCTCACAGCTTCACACACTGCCCTCTCAGGGGCACACTGCCTGGCCTCCCAGGCCTTCTTCTGAAATCGAGGTGGAAGCCTTAACCTCAGAACTCCTGCATTAAGCAAGCGCCTAAAACCAGTGCCACATGGATGACGCCAAGGTCTGCTGCCGGCTGGATCAGTAGCCAGGTTTTCTCCTCTCTTGGCTGTAGGGGTCAAGTGCCTGGATGGCTGAGCACTCTTGACCTGGATATGGAGGAATAATTTCTCCTTGCCGGTGCCATTCTGGAACCTGGTATGGCCGCTGCCATTCTGGAACATGGGGCTCTGCGGCTTTCCCCTCAAGGCAAAGTCCCTGACCTTTGCAGTTCTGAGGCTGCAAAGGCTGGAGACCTGCCTCCTGTGAGGCCCTCAGGCCATCTTTTCCATTCTCTTGTTCCTTCCCTGCAATGGAGATTCTCTCGGCTCCATCTTTGCAGTCCACAGCTTTATTGGAGCTTCCTTTCTGGCCAAACTCACAGTTTGGACCATCCTGCTGGGCTCCTTGCTCTTCATTCTCAACATAAATCTGGCTAAAAGCCCCCAGCAACAACCAGGTCACTGCCCCAATATTTGGCTGCTTTGAAATATCTTTTGCTAGATTGACCAGTCCACCATGCTTAAACTCAGTCTCAGGCAGTCTCTGAACACAAGCAAAATGCAGACTTCTCTGCCAGGTCAAAACACAAATGATCTGGAGTCCAACAACCAGTGCTGTCCTTCTTCCCAGCAGAAACCTCCCCAGCCTGGTCTTCACAGGCCGGCTTTCTATCAGCCTTCTGGTCTTCTGAGCTCTGACCAGAATCTCCCAAACGGAACAACCAAAGCTGTTTTAGCGCTTCACTTGTAGGCGACATCTCTGAACCTTTCCTATCTCTTTCCATAAGCCATTCCCAAAAGCTTGTAATCCACACAGTGAGGTTGAGCCACAGCAACGACCCGACTCCTGCAGGGCCAAATTCTGTCTTAGTTACTCTTCTCTTGTTGCTGGGGCAACTACCCGACAGCCAAATTGAAGGAAGGAAATGTTTAGCTTACAGTTACTGGAGGGTTCAGTCCACACTCAGCTGGCTCCAAGGCAGAGTGGCACACCTTTCATAGCGGTGGCAAAGAGCAAGGGCCGGTATTTATTTGACACAGGGTCTCGCTACGCAGCTGCAGCTCAGATTCATAGTGATCCTCCTGTCTCAGCTTCCCCAGAGCTGTGATTATAATTATGTGCCACAACACCCAGTTTTAGGGCCAGCACTGTGTGCCCAGGGGTTCTGGGCCAGGTAGGCATGCAGTACTGGGGACTGAACTTGGTTCCTTGCACGTGCCAGGCAGGCGCTTAAGACACCAAGCTATACCCCTCAGCCCAAAAACCTTGGTTGGTTGATTGGTTGCTTTCTTTCTGTAATTATTATAGGGTCTATCGGGTCTTACTACACAGATCAGACTCTCAGTGATTCTATTTTCAGTCTCCCAAGTTCTGAGATTACAGGCGTGTGCTACCACACCCAGTCTAACCTTAGTTTCTTTACCAAGGCCATTTTCTATGTGACAGCATGGGGAAATTGAGACTCCAAATAGCTTCACTAAATTGAAGGGACAAAAACAAAACCCAGAAACTCAGAGCCACATAAACGGCTGGGACTTTAGAGGCTAATCCCAGAAACAAGAGAACTATAGCCAAGTAGGACTCCTAAAATCTGCCTACAAATTCTCCATAAGTCTGCCAGCAAAAAGCAGCAACTGCGAAGTCCAAACACATTTTTATCAGATAGTGCTGAGAAGACAGGCTGGAGTTCAAGTTGCTAAGACCAAAGATCCCTGGACAATGATCCAGACTTTCAATAATCACCTACAAGGGGCACATCCGAGTGGTAAGGGCCATGTTCTAGGAAATACATCAGTTTTAATAACACCCAAATCAGACCTTAATAGGAGGAAGCTGATCTGCTCCTACTCTTGTCTATCAGTAGAAAAAAATTTTCTTCAGTGGGCAATTACATTATCCAAAGCCTCTATGAATTTTTCATTCACCATGTCTAACATCCATTTTAAAAAAAAAATGTATTTAGTACAGGGTCTACAGGGTTTCACTACACAAATTGGACTCATAGTGATCCTTTGTTCAGCCTCTCAAATTCTGGGATTACAGGCATGCACCACCACACCCAGTCTCACAGTCTCTATCGCCATCTCACCTCGCCCCAGGGGTGGGGCCAGCATGGCACACCAGGGATTGAATCCCGGTGTCCGGTCTGCCTAAGCAGGTGCTTTAATCCGCTGTGCTATATGGCTGGCCCCTAACATCCAAAGTTTTAAAAGTAAGGTATTTGGAAAAAGTAGGCAGAAATGACTAAAAGTAAGGACAATAAAAATAGAAGAGAAGGAAAAAAAGAAACATCCAAAATAATGAGTATTATCACAGATAAATATTTTAAAAGTTACTGTGACTGGGCAAGCCAGATAGCTCAGCAGACTAAAGCACCTGCTCAGGCAGGTTCAGGGACCGGGGTTTGATCCCTGGTGTACCATGTCAGTCCCGTCCCTGGGGGCCTGCTGAGACAGTGACTGAGACTGGACGTGGTGGCTCGTGCCTGTAATCCCAGTACTAGGGAGGCTGAAAACAGGAAGATCACTACAAGTCCAATCTGTGTAGTGAGACCCTAAAGACCCTGTACTAAAAATACAA